AGAGAGAGAGAGAGAGAGAGAGAGAGAGAGAGACAGGGAGAGGGAGAGAGATCACTATTCTTCAAACAAGCCAAGGAATCTGGAGAAGGGTGAAGGAGGAAAGGAAGCTGCAGACATTGTGAGAACAAGGCTCAATGTGCTCCCAGGTACCCCTTCCACAGCTAGCAACATAAGGAATGTTCTTGTGTCTAAACGTGACCATGATGATAGAAACAGACCCTGTGAGGGGTTGGGGGTGGGGAAACAGGTGGTGGTTTCCTTTCTTATGGGACATTCAGGATTAAGAAAGATAAACAGTCTTGGGGTTTGTGTTTGTTCATCATAGCCGGTGATGAAGCAGAGAGACTAACAGAGAGACGGGAAGCATGACAGTGATAGAGACTGAAATATGTGGGGAGACAGAAGAGAAGTCCCAGTTCCCCTCCTCCCCTGGCTCCTTCATGGAAGGATGCCGACTACTTACCTGGGTTCTCTTAGCAGAACTGTCTTGGAATTCAGGAAGGGGCTCACTCTGTCTCATCCCTGATAAACCACAGCCCAAGCCACATTGTGGGACCCTCAGTGATCTGGCACCAGTGACACTTCTGCTTCTGTTGCCGTGGATACAGCCTCGTTGGTCTAAATCGCTGGCAGCAAGGGAAGCAGGTGCCAGAGGGGTGCACTTGGTAGAGCTGGAGATGTTGGGGAACACCAGGTGGACAGCACACAGCTTTGGGGTACCCAAGTATTGGGCAGGTGGGGGTCCTGGTAGGTGATTCTCCCACTACACACTCCCATCCCCATCTTCATGCAACCGCCAATCTGGGAGGGGGCCAGCGCTGGCTCCGCTACTGGTCTGCCTGCCTAGCTGCCGGTTCCCCCCACCCCCCACCCAGTCTGCCTGCTGGCCGCAGCCTTTTGTCCTCAGAAGACACGGTCCCAGCGGGGCCTCTGCCAAGCTTCTAGCAGATGCTCAGGGTCCTGGACTCCTCCCTGGGAGCACAGGAGCCATGGCTTGGGAGGGCCCCAGGTTAGGGGCACATTCTCATCCAGGCTAACCCCACTCTCCGGAGGGCCTGGCGAGGATGGAGAAGAGGTGCAGATCCACAGCCAGAGGCAGCAGCAGAGGTGGTGTTGGGGAGGGGATGGACGCCAGAAAGTGGGGGAGGGGGAAAGGGAGAGAAAGGCTGGCCTGATGGCCGTGTCCCAGGTTTTAGATCCGGGTTGAGAAGGGTGGCTCAGAGCATCCAAAGGGGGTCCTGATGCAAGACGAAGGTACCGTGGACCTGCTGGAAGGAGCTTCCTAGCCCGGGAATCACTTCGCTTCACACAAATCCAGGTTCCATGGTGCGGGGAACACCTAGCTTGGATAGGTTCTCAGTGAGGAGTCCTGGCCCCTTAGCTGGACCCTGTGTAGCCTGCTGGTCCTCCCCTCTCCTCGATTTGCACAGTCCCTGCCCAAGGGGAGGGTGGAGGAGGGAGGGAAGCAGGGAGAGCAAGGGAGGGAAGAAGGGAGGCTGAGCAGCCAGGAGACTCCCAGCCACCAGCAAGGTCCTCCCTGGGGCGGGGCGGCTGGGGTTGGGGGAGGGGGCTGGCGAGATCTGGAGAACTTGGCTGGCTGGCTGACTGAATGGGGATGCTTGGTGTGGTGGCTGTCCTTGCCAGGACAATAGGTGGCTGGCAAAATCAGGCTGAGGCCTCTCTGACTTGAGAGGCCTGTGTGGAGGTGAGGAGAAGTAGCCAGGAGGTTGCTGAGAAAGCGACTTGTTTAGGCTACTCAGAGAGAGCAGGGCTCATAAAGGTCTGGGGTTTGGTTTTGGACAAAGAGTCGGTGGAAGTTTCTCAGGTTTGGCAGGGAAGGCTTGGAAGATAAGGTATATAACCTTATTTAGGGTGGGGTTTTATGAGTAGGCTCCGGAAGCTGGCTTGGAGATAGGTGAAGGAGGAGCACAGACACCCAGCTCAGAATCCCCGTAAGAGGATCTCCAATGCTACTTCTACTTTCTCTGGGCTAGAAGGCAGGTATGGACACAGACGTAAGGCTGTGTTCCAGGACAGCAGAAATCAAAAGATGAGAAGAATGCCCGGTGAACAGAAATGTGAAGACCAGGGAAAAAGTTTCTGTTTTGAATCGGTTTAAATTGGGACCAAATGGTGCTGTCGTGGTTCCTCTAATTTATAGCATTTGATAATTCCAATTCTTTTGATATAAAAACTGTATTTTGTTTTCTTTCCTCATTAGTTGGTTCATTCCTTAAACAGCTTCATGGAGGTCCAGTGCTGGGCTCAGATGACCTGGGTAAATCAAACTTGCTGCCTGCCCTTATGAAACCCATGATCTGCTACGGACCTGTGGGCCTGGAGGTCATGCCCCTGCATCTGGATCCCTCTGGGACCTGTGAAATGTACACCCCCAGGCCTGCTCTCTGGAAATATAAATCTGGTAGGTGGGAGAGGTGTGAAACATTTTTAGAAAACCTTTAGGTGGTTATTTTTATATCTCTGAATTTGGGCACCATGCTTTGGAAAGGGATAAAATCCTACGGACTGAAGATAAATTCACAATGGAAATGAGAAAATACTTTGGGCTAATCGAGAACTAAAATCGTCACCTGAATTATTGTGAGATGTTTCTGAGGCTGCGTAGAGGAAACATTTTGTAGCTTTAAATTCATATATATATTAAAGAGGTGGATTTCTGTTTTAAGTTAGAAAAAGATAACAAATTACACTTAAAGAAAGGAAGCAAATGGTAGACTTGAGAGTAGAGAACAATGGAATAGAAAATAAAGCTACAACAGATAAGATCCACAAAGCTAAAGGTTCTTTGAAAAACCCTTGAGACATCATGATTCAGGAAATAAGAAAGCAAGTAAAAAGTATTGGAAACAAAGGGGGGCACTACACTACATCACATTCAGTTAGACTGAGGGGATGTTAGATTTATAATTTTATGCTTGCCATTTTGAATTTTTTGATACAATGGAAAAATTTTGGAAGAAAAAATTTACTAAAAGTCACAGAAAATATAGAATATCTGAGCAATCATGTAATTATTAAACAAACTGAATTTATAATTTTAAAACTTCGTATGTAGAGATCTCTAGGAGGCTAGACAGATGGCCTCAGTAGACAATAACATTTGTACAACAAACGTGAAACCCTGAGTTCAAATCTGTGGCAACCATGTAAAAGCATGGCATGGCTATGCCTGACTTGTAACACTATCATTGTTGGTCAGAGGCAAGTGGATCCAGAGAACTTGCTGGTCACTCAGCCTAGTCAAAACACAGTGAGCATCCAGTTCAGTGAGAAAGCCGTTCTCAGGGCATTTCTGTGGAGAACAATAAAGGAAAACATCTGATCTTCTGCTCTGGCCTCTGTGCATGTACACATTCAAACATTCTCTAGAGACTCTCCAATAGTAAGTTCTGCAAAATCGTCAGAGAAAACCCCCACTAATTCCCTAATTTTATTACAAATTCTCGAAGGGACTGGAGAAAATTTATTGTTGTTCAACGGGTGCAAAAGAAAAGTACCTAAACAGACAAACAAATAAAAAATCATAGCAAACTTAAGTTTTCTAAGAAGTTAATGAAGTTTGTTAAAAATACCAGAGTTTCCAACATCATACTTTATGGGGAAATATTGAAGGCTTCTTGTGCTGGTTAGCTCTTGTAAACTTGAGAGTCACTTAGAAAGAGTGAACTTCAGTTAGGGAATTGTGTTTACCACATTGGCCTGTGGTCATGCCTGTGGGGCATTTTCTTGATTAATGATTGATCCGGGAGTGCCCAGACCACTGTGGGCAATGCCATTCTTGGGCAGGTGGTCCTGGATGGTATAAGAAAACAAGCTGAGCAAACCATGGGAAGCAAGCTAGTAAGTGACATTCCTTTGTGGTCTCTGCTTTAGTTCCTGATTCTTTTATTTTTCCCTTTTTCTCTTTATTCTAATTTATTTACTTTGTATCCCAGCTGCAGCCCCCTATCTCATTCCCTCCCAATCCCACCCTCCCTCCCTCACCTCTTCCCTGCCCTCTCTAAGTCCACTGATTGAGGAGGTCCTCCTCACCTTCCATCTGACCCTAGCTTATCAGCTCTCATCAGGACTGGCTGCAATATCTTCCTCTGTGGACAGGCAAGGCTGCTTCTCCCTTGCGTGTGTGTGTGTGTCAAAGAGCAACCACTGAGTTCATGTCAGAGACAGTCCTTGTTTCTCTTACTAGGGAACCTACTTGGATACTGAGCTGCCATGGGCTACATCTGAGCAGGGCTTCTAGGTTATATCCATACATGGTCCTTGGTTGGAGTGTCAGTCTCAGAAAAGACCTCTGTGCACAGATTTATTTGGTCCTTGTGGTAGCTCCTGCTTCTTTGTTTCTATCTGGATATCCCTTGGAGATGAACCTGGACATGTAAGACAAAAATAAACCTGTTCCTCCTCGAGTTGCTCTTGGCCAGAGTTTATTACAGCAACAGAAAATCAAACTAGGATACGTCCTAAGATTGGGAACAAGACTAGGTTGCCCACAATAGTCACTTTAATTCCATTGTACTGAAGTTCTTGGCCAGTGTAAGAAAAAAGAAAAAGACTTAAGATAGGGGCTGGAGAGATGGCTTAGTGGTTAAGAGCACTGACTGTTCTTCCAGAGGACCTGGGTTCAATTTCCAACACCCACATGGAAGCTCACAACTGTCTGTAACTTCAGTTCCAGGGGACCTAACCCCTCACACAGATGTACATGCAGGCAAAACACCAAAGAACGTAAAATAAAAATAAAAACATATAAAAAGGCTCCCAATAAAAACTGCAGTACAGGGCATGGAATCCCCACACCCCATGAGTTTTTGATCAAAGAAGCTCCAGGTGTCTCCAAAATAACACAAGCTATTGTGCTTGTCCTTGGCTCTACCATACACTTTCATTGTAGGACAAGAGAAATCAATTTAAAACTAAAAAGGAAACTTCTTCATCCTTTCTGGCTAGCTTTCATAGTGCCAGAAAGTGCTTGGCAGGTAGCTGAGGGAGGAAAACTATCAATGGTCTTATCAAGTGCTGGACTTTGCATGCTACAATTATGATCTGCTAGGCAAGAAGTACCCATTCGCACAATAGTGGCACAAGTGTTATGGGGTAACTAAGCACTTTTTGATTGGACTTGAGGCAGGCTCCATAGAAGGAATTTTCATTCCAGGTACTGTAATTCTGGTCAAAATCCCATGAATGGGAAGATCTTAGACCCTAGGGTAGAACCTGCTACTGTTAGTTTGCTAAATGGTCATGCTGTCAAATTGCCTTTTAATGATCACGTTCTATTGCTCATGTATGTGGAATTTTCAAAAATAAAAAAAATAAAATAAAAAGAAATCATATACATTAAATATACTAATTTTTATATTTCAGTTATATAAAAATAAAGCCATCTGATAAACAGAAAAAAGAAGAGAAAAGTAAGCATGCAAATATTTATAAATATGTGCAGCCAGCCCTGAAGATAGTTGATAAAACAGGGTCAAATGAAAGGGGAGGAGGTCCTCCCCTATCAGTGTACTTGGAAAAGGGCAGGGAGGAGACCAGGGAGGGAGTGTGGGGTTGGGGAGGGAATGAGGGAGCGGGATACAGCTGGGACACAGAGTTAACAAAATGTAACTAATAAGGAAAATAAAATTAAAAAAAGAAATAAAAAAGTATTTATAAATATGGCTGTGTATAGAAAATTAAAATGTCTTTAAACTTATTAGAATTAGAAAAATTACCAGGGTTATGAGTCAGGGTTAATATAAAACTAGGCTTTCCTCCTCTCCAAATGCTCTCAATGATGAGTTAGAAAAATGAAGAAGACATTATTAAGAGTTCTTTTATTCTTTGAGAATTTTATACACTTATCCAATGAGATTTCATCATATCTACTCCTCCCTTTTCCTCCAATTCTCCCTGCATCTTACCCAACACCTCTCCTTCATAAATTCATGTTGTAGTAGTCTAAAAGAGAGGTGTTCCAAATAGGCTCAGGCATTTGAACTCCAGTATTTCCCCAGTAAAGGGCTGGATACTGGGGATCATCTCTCCCATGTATTCAGGAATTTGGGTTGCCTTGATCTTGGATAGGTCTTGTGTAGTGAACCACAGCTGGTATGAGCTCATGAATGCAGTGGCCATGTCATGTCCAGACATTTCACAGCATTCCTCCCCATCCTCTAGCTCTTATGTTCTTCCTATCTCCTCTTCTGTGATGTTCTCTGAGTCTTGGCTGGAGCAGGGAGAAGTGTTGGGGGGGGCTGATAAAGATGTATGATTTAGGGCTGAATGCTCACTCAGACTTTTATTCTTAGCTCTCAGACCAGTTATGCATTTCTGCACTGACCACAGTCCACTGCAAAAAGGAAGCTTCTCTGACCAAGGTTGAGAGCAGTTTAGGTCTATAGGTATTTATAAATAAATGTAAATATTTAGAAGTATAAATATTTAGAACACAAACTGACAGCATGGTTATTAGCAAAATAACAATAGAAAATTCTACCATTGGATCCAAGACTGCTCCAGCCGTGGGCTTAATTTTTTTTATTAGTTCTTTGAGAATTTCATACCACATATTTTGATTATATTCACCCATCCCCAACTATTTTCAAATTCATCCCCTTCCCCATCCACCAAACTGTGTACTCCTTCAAAAAAATTCGTCAAGAACAATCTCTCCTGCCCAGTTGTTCTTGGAATGTGTAGTCTTTCCTTGGAGTGTAGTTGACTAACTAGGGGCAACACTCTTAGAGAAAACTGTTTCTTCTTCCATAAGCTAGTAAGTGCCAATAACTGCATGGTTAGGAATGAGATTTTGTACTGAACTCCAATCTCCAGACTGAGATTTTGTCTGGTTTGGGATTATACAGGTTTTGTGCATGCTGTCCCAACATTGTATGTTCATATGTACAACTGCCCTACTGTGTCCAGAAGACAGTTTCCTCCACAATGTTCCCTGAGCCTGGGAGGAGAGAACGCAGTATACATATTTAATTTAGGACTGATCATTCTACAGTCTTGTACCTTGGCCAGTTGTGAGTCTCTGTGCTATTATCTACAGAAAATAAAAGCTTCTCAGATGAGGGTTCAGAAATGCATTGGTCTATGGCTATACTGATAAAACATTTGCAGTTGTTTTTAATACTATGCCCATTTAGCAGAATAATAGTAAGTGTTTCTCCCCTACTGCCTATGACATGTCTAGTCACAGTTTATTGGCTTACTAATGGTGCCAGGTATGAGTTTCATCTTGTGGAATGGGACTTATATCCAATCAGAAATTGATTGGTCTCTCCGATGATGCTGATGTTATGCCAATGGGCTTTTCTTTTCAGTCCAATCATTATTGTAGTTGATAGAGATCACAGCTGACTGTGATTAAGAATTACTTTTCTATTCTAATAGTATTCATGGGATCTTCCATCACTATGAAAGCTAGCCAATAGGGATGAAGTTTCCAGGTTAGTAACCACTTGATTTCTCTGTGTTCAGTGACTCAAGTGTGTGGCGTCTTCAGCAATAGGATCTTACTGTCAAGTTCTGGAGGGTAAGCAAGAGCAATGGCAATGGCCTGGGTTTGTTTATTTTGGGGGGAGGGACGGAGGAATCTATGGGAAGTCACTGGCTAACAACTCTGAATTGATTCCTGACAATGAGCATTTTCTCTTTTTTAGTTTGTGTATATGTGTGTTTTAAATTTTTATTTAAAAGTTATTTTCATACACTATATTTTGATAATGTTCTCTCCCAGCTCCTCTAATATCATTCCCACCTCCTTAACCACACAATTTCATGAGCTCTCTCTCAAATAAAAATAACATGAAAAACAAACAAACAAACAAACAAAAAACAACAACAGCAAAGATATCCCATTTAGGACCAAGTATGCTAAAGCCTCTTTCTGCACATTGCCCCATTGTAGATCTCTTTGTTAATTACAAGAAGATTCTCAGACAAGGGTTGAGTGTGGTGGTTTGAATAAGTTTGGCTACCATAGACTCATGTATTTGAATGCTTGGCCAATAGAGAGTGGCACTATTAGGTATGGCCTTGTTGGAGGAAGTGTGTTACTGTGGAGGTGGGCTTTGAGGTTTCCTATGCTCACACTCTGCTCAGTGTTGAATGAGAGCTTTGTCCTGGCTACCTGCAGAAGCCAGTCTCCTCCTGGCTGTTTTTGGATCAAGATGTAGAATTCCTGGAGTCTCTAATATCATACCATGTCTGTCTGGATGCTGCCATCCTTCCCACCATGATGATAACGGACTAAACCTCTGAAACTGTAAGCCAGCCCCAATTAAATATTGTCCTTTATTACCTTGGTCATGGTGTCTCTTAACAGCAATGGAAGCCATAACTAAGACAGTTGAGTGATATTGTGCCCCATGACTATAGCCATATGTTATTAGGAGTCATTTGATTGCCATCTTCCTTTAGCAGGATGATAGTAGTAGGCTTTCCTCTAGGCCTATGACCTATCTACTCTCAGTTTATTGTCTATTTCAGCAATGTCAGATATGAGTTCCATCACTTGGAATGGGTCTTGAATCAAATTTAAAAAAGTGGTTGGTTACTCCTATAACTTTTATGCCACTATTGTACCAGTGTATCTTGGAGGCAGATCTCAGTTGTAGGTTGCAAGGATGGTTGCTTTTCTTTTCCAGTAGTGTTTGAAGTACCTTCTAGCATTGTGAATGCTAATCATTAGGGATGAAGCTTCTAGTTAGACACCAGCTCAATTTCTCCATGTTAGATTATGTAAGTAAGTGTTGTCTTCAGCATTAAGGACTTGCCATCAGGTTATGGAGGGTAACCAACAACCTGTGATAATTAGGGTGGTGTTGGTGGTGTCTACGAGAGCCATTTGGCCGATGACTTAAGATTTAACCAATTCCTGGCACCGGAGGTTTTATTTGGTGGCATAGGACATCCAGTTGGGCATTATCTCCTCAATTATATGGTTGCTTCATTTAAATTCCTCCCATATATGAGTATATTTTAGGAAGTTTCTTCACTAGTAGATTTCCATATGGTTTTTCAAGTGACCTTTAGTTTTAGTTGTCAGTCCTCATATTCCTTCACCCTACACTCCCATTCCCCTCTCTATTTAATCCTCCTATTATAATTTACCCTTTATCTCTTTATAATCTTATGCTCTTTCACATTTTCTTGGAAGATCCCTTGCAACCCCAACCCCCATGGTCCCTTACTAGAAACCTAACTCCTGTTATTTGGACAGAAGCACACATACAAAAAGCTTAAAAGCTAACATTCACATGTAGGAGAAAAGTTGCAAGATTTTTTTGGGTGTCTGGGTTACCTCAGTCAGGATGATTGTTTCTAGCTCTATCCATTTACCTGAAAATTTTATAATCTAATTTTTCTTAATAGATGAATAGTATTCTGCTGTGTAAATGTGCCACATTTTCATTATCCATTCATGAGTTGATGGGCATCTAAAAAAATTATTTCCAATTTTTGGCTATTATGCATAGAGTGGCAATGAACATGCATGAGCAATTATCTCTGTAGTAGGATGTAGAGTCCTTTGGGTATATGCCCAAGAGTGCTATAACTGAGCTTGTGATAGATTGATTTTCAGCTTTTTGAGAAACCTTCATACTCATTTCCATAGTGGCTGTACTAGTTTGCACTCTCACTAGTCATGAATAAGTGCTCCCCTTTCCCTGCATTCAAACTAGCATGAGCTGTCATTTGTTTTATTGATCTTGGCCATTCTGACTGGGGTAAGATAAAATCTCAAAGTAGTTTTAATTTGCATTCCCCTGACAGGAAAAGATGTTGAACATTTCTTTAAGCGATTCTCAGCCATTTGGGTTTCAGTTTTTGGGAACTCTGTGTTTAGTTCTTTATCCCATTTTAAAATTAGGTTATTTGTTTTCTTGTTCAGTTTTTTTTAGCCCTTTGTTTACTCTATATATTAACCTTATACTAGATGCATAATTGGTAAAGATCTTTTCCCATTCTGTAGGCTGACACATTAGTGGAATAATAGTGCCCTTTGCTATACAGAAGCTTTTTAGCTTCATGAGGTCCCATTTGTTAATTGTTGGGCTTAATGCTTGTGCTATCAGTATCCTGTTCCTAAAGTCCTTTCCCATGCCGCTGAGTTCAAGCCTATTTCCTGCTCTCTTTTCTATCAGGTTCAGGGAGTCTAATGTTGAAGTCCTTGATCCATTTGGGGTTGAGTTTTTTTTTTGGGGGGGGTGAGTTTTATGCAGAGTGATAAGTGTGGGTCTATTTGGATTCTTCTACATGTAGCCAACAACTTGACTAGAACCATTTATTAAAGAAGCTGTCTTTTATCCAGTGTGTATTTCTGGCTTCTTTGTGAATAATCAAGTGTCTGTCAGTGTATTTAATTATGTCTGGGTTGTTGTTGATTATTAATATTTATTATTGATTTATTTTTTAGTTAAGCAGCAGTTATTCCTAAACCAGCTGTATACCCATATCACCACACAGAGACTAGGATTTATTTAATTAACCTAGAGCACAATGCTGGGCAATAGTCACTCCACCCTAAACCTCCAAGCCTGCATAGTTTCCTCCCACTCAGATTTCTCACATTATACTTGCTTTTAGTCATATCTTAGGTCCTGTTCATCTCTCCTTGTGGTTCCAAGTCCTCTCCTGCCAATCTCTTCTCTCTGACTCCTCCCACTTGCTTCCTTCTCCTCCCCGCTGGACCAGGATGTCCCATCCTATTCTCTCCATTGCTCAGCATTGGCTGATTGTTTTACTAACAATAAGAGAACAAATTTTACACAGCATATTTACACAGGCTTAAGACAGGTGATGCTTAGAATAAACATGCAATACAATGTCCGGATTGAAACCAGAAATTGGGGTAGAAAAAAAATCAGCATTTGAATGAACAAGAGTAAGTTGTATACATTCCACAAGAACATTGTACCAACACTAAGTCTTCAATTTTATTTTACTTATCAATGTGTCTTTTATGACATTAAGCTGTTTTTATTACTATAGCTCTATAGATTGAAATCTGGGATGGTTATACCTCTAGTAGTTCTATTGTTATTCAGGATTATTTTATTTATCTTATTTTTGTGTGTTTCTATAAAAAGTTAAAGATTTTTTTTTCCAATTTCTGTGAAGAAATGTGTTGAAATATTGAATCTATAGATTGCTTTTGGTAGGATGGCCATTTTTATGATGTTAATTTTATTGATCCATGAACATGGAAATCTTTTCATTTTCTGGTGTCTTCTTCAATTTCTTTCTTCAGCATCTTAAAGTTTTTATTATGTAAGCCTTTCATTTGCTTGATTAGAGTTTCTCCAAGATATATTATTTTTGAGGCTATTGGGAAAGGTACTGATTCTCTTATTTTGTTCTTAGTATGTGTTTAATTTGCATATAGGAAGTCTACTGATTTTTATGTGCTAATTTTGTATTCTGCTAGTTTTCTAAAAGTGATCATCAGCCATAGAAGTTTACTGTGGAGTCTTTTGGGTCCTTCATGCATAAAATTATATCATCTGAAAATAAAGATACTTTGACTTCTTTCATTCTAATTTGTATCTCTTTGATCTCTTTCAGTGGTCCAATTGCTCTAGCTAAGACTTCAAGTAGTATATCTAACAGGTATGGAGAGAGTGGACAACCTTGTTTTGTATATGATATTGGAAGAAATGCCTTGAGGTCTTCATTTAGGGTGATGTTGGCTGTAGGCTTGCTGTAAATTGCTTTTATTGTAATGACGTATGTCTCTTGCATCTTTAGTTTCTCTAAGACTTATCTTAAAGGGATGCTAAATTTTGTAAAAGGCTTTTTCTCTATCCAATAAGATGATCATGTGGTTTTTGTTTTTCAGTCTGTTTATGTGGTGTTTATTTTGTGGTTTTTGTTTTTTCAGTCTGTTTATGTGTTTATTTATTGATTTATGCATGTTGAACCATTCTTGCATCTTTGGGATGAAGCCAACTTGATGGAGGTGGACACTTTTTTTTCCTTTTATTGAAAATAGATTTTCCACATAATATAAACTAATTAAGTTTTCTCCTCCCTCTACTCCTCCTAGTTCCTCTCCACCTCTGCTCCCATCTGGATCCAGTCCCCTTTTGTCTCTAATTAGAAAAAAAGAGAGTAACATAAATTAACTAATTAATTATTATATAAATGCTAAAGTTCTATTGTAGATAATAATTTACATGATTATAAACAATCAATAAAATTACTTTTTGTAGTGCATAGAACTATCAGGAAAACAAACATTTAACTATTAATTTAATGAATCTGTGAACTGCATTATCCAATATCATATTTGTAGATAATTTTTATAACTAATGATTACTTCAAATAGTAAATATAACTGTTTTTTTTTTGTACAAAAAAGAAAACAAACAAATTTCTAAGGGATAATAATAATAATATAAAATAAAGCATTGGAATTAAACAAAACAGACAAACAGAAGGACATGGACAGGACAGTCTTGTGCCCTGGAGAAGGCACAAGATTCAGTCATTTGCACACTCAGGAATTCCATTAAAACACTAAACTGGAAGTCATAGTATATATGCAGAGAACCTACTGGAGACTCATGTCTGTCTCAGTCTCTATGAGTTCACATGCCCTTTGATCATGTTGGTTTAGAGGGTCTTTTTTTCTTAGTGTCCTCCATCCCTTCTGGCTCTTACAATCTTTCTGTCTCCTCTTCCACAGCTCTTCCTGATTCCCTGAGTGCTGAAGGCAGGGACTTGATGGTGACATCCCATTTAAGGATGAGTGTTTAAAGGTCTATTAATTTCTGCATAATGTCTGGCTGTGAGTCTTTGTATTTGTTCCTATCTCCTGCAGAAGGAAATTTCTCTGATGGTGAGCAAGGCACTGGTCTATGATTATGGCAGAATGTCATTAGGAGCCATTTTATTGCTACTTTCCCTTAGTAGAACAGTAGTGTTTGGTTTTACCCCAGGACCCTGGGCTATCTAGTCTGAGATTCTTGGTCACAACAAGCAGTTTTGTGTACAGATTCCATCTGTGTAGTGGGCCATAAGTCAAGTCAGATTTGTTTGGTTATTCCCACAAGCTTTGTGCCGATTGCACTAGCATATCTTCCAAGCATGATACCATTGTAGATCAAACAGTTTGTGGCTTCATTGGTGTTTATGTTGCTCCTTTTGTAGTGTATAGGGTACCTTCCTGTACCAAATATTCTAGAATGTAGGAATAAAGGCCCTATGTAGGCACCAGCTTGACTTCTTCATGTTCAGTGAGTTGTATAGGTGTTGTTTTCAGCAATGGGGCCTTACTGTCAGTTTGTGGAGAGCAAACTATAGTCTTGGCAACAGCCTGTGTTGTTTGGGGATTCCCATGGGATCCCTTTCTCTAACAACTCAATTAGATGTTACCCAGTTCTGGATTGGAAACTTTGTTAGGTGACAAGAAATGGCCAGTTGGGACCTTGTCTCCACCATTATTTGGTGATTAGATCATGGTCATACATCATAAATTGTGTGTATTTTAAGAAGCGTCTACTATATTAGATTTCCATACTACCTCTCAAATGGCTCTTAATTTTAGTTGTCTCTCTTTCTCTCTGTATCCTTCTTCATCCCACTCTTCTCATCCCTTGCCAACTTGATTCTTCTGCTTCAGCCTTCCCCATCCATCTATAACTATTTATTCTATTATCCTTTCAAAGGGAGATCTATTGGTCCCCTCCCAGTCCCTGACTCTATATCTAGCCTCTGTGGTTTTATGGAGTGTAGCTTGATTATCATTAACTTAATGGCCAATACCAACATAGAAGTGATTACATGCCATAATTTTCTCTTTTTTTTGGGGGGGGGTCTTTGTTACCTCACTCAGAATGACTTATTTTTTTTCCTAATTCCATACAGTTGCCTGTGAATTTCATTTTTTAAAAAACAGCTGAGTAATATTCCATTGTGTAAATGTACTATGTTTTCTTTATCCATTTATCTAGGTTGTTTCCAATTTCTGGCTATTATGAATAGAGTATCAATAAACATAGCTGAGGAAGTGTCTCTGTGGCAGGATGAAGCATCCTTTGGGTATATACCCAAGAGTGGTATAGTTGGATCTAAAGGTAGATTCCTATCTTCTGAGGAACTGTCACACTGATCTCCATAGTGGCTATACAAGTTTGCATTCCTACCAGCAATGGATGAGTGTGGTAATGGTGTTCTATTCAGAAAGTCTTTTCTTCTACCAATGAGTTCAAGGCTATTATCCCTTCTCTTCTACCAGCTTCACTTTATCTGGTTTTATACTGAAATTTTTGACCCATATGGAGTTGAGCTTTGTGCAGAGTATGGATCAATTTGGATTCTTTTACATGTAGCAATTTAGGTTAGACTATACTACCATTTGTTGAAGATGCTATCTTTTCTCCAGTCCACATTTTTTGCTTCTTTGTAAATAATCAGGTGTCTATAGATGTGTGAATTTATGTCTTGGAGTTCAATTTGATTGACACATCTGTTTTTATGCCACTTCCATGTTGTTTTTATTACTATAGCTGTGTAGTAAAATTTGAAGTCAAGGATGGTGATACCTCCAGCATTCCTTTTATTATTTAGGATTGTTTTTTAAATATCCTGTCTGTTTTTCCATATGAAACTTAAAATTGTCCTTTCAAGATCTGTGAAGAACTGTGTTGAAATTTTGATGGAATTTGCATTGAATCTATAGATTAGTTTTGGTAGGATAGCTATTTTTACTACATTAATCTTACTGATCCATGAACATGAGAGATATTTCCATCTTCGGTTATCTTCTTTAATTTCTTTCTTCAGTGCCTTAAAGTTTTCTAAGTCTTCCACTTGCTTGGTTAGAGTTACCTTAGGATATTTTATATTTCAGGCTATTGTAAAACATGCTGTTTCCCCAATTTCTTTCTCAGTCCATTTGTTATTTGTATGTAGGATTTTTGTGATTTTTGTGAGTCAATTTTGTAACTAACTAACTAACTAATTAACTAACTAACTAACTAACTAACTAACTAACTAACTAACCAACTAACTAGCTACCTTGCTGAAAGTTTTTATCAGCTATATGAGTCTTCTGATTATTTTTAAGGGTCACTTATGTATATTCTCATAGCTACAAATAAAGATACTTTGACTTCTTTTCCTAAATGAATCACCTTGATTTCTTTTGGTTGGACAACCTTGTCTTGTTCCTGATTTTAGTACAATTGCTTTGAGTTTCTTTCCATTTATGTTGATATTGGTTGCAGGCTTGTTGTAAATTGCCTGTATTATGTTTACACATGTCCCTTATATCTGTACTCTCTCCAGAAATTTTTTTCAAGACAGGGTTTCTATGTGTAGCCTTGGCTGTCATGGAAATCACTCTGTAGACAAGGCTAGCCTCAAATTCAGAGGTCTGCCTGCCTCTGCCTCCCAGCTCTCCAGGACTTTTTTTTTTTTAAGATCCATTACTTATTATGTATACATTATTTTGCCTGCATGTACACTTGCACTTCAGAAGAGAGAATGCGATCATACTATAGGTGGTTGTGAGACACCAAGTGGTTGCTGGGAATTGAACTCAGGACCTTTGGAAGAGCAGTCAGTGCTCTTAACCTCTGAGACATTTCCCTAGCCCCTCTCCAGGACTTTTATCATGAAGGGGTGTTAGATTTTGTCAAAGACAAAAAAAAAATATACCTTCTCCGCACCTCACAAAACTATCTACAAAGTTGATCACATACTCAGTCACAAAGCAAGTCTACTTGATCATGGAGGATGATCTTTGTGATATGTTCTTAGATTCAGTTTGCCAGTATTTTGTTGAGTATTTTTGCATCAATGTCCATGATGGAAATTGGTCTAGAATTCTCTTTCTTTTTTTGAGTCTTTGTGTGGTTTGGGTATCAGGGTGACTGTGAGCTCACAAAAAATGAATTTGGCAATGTTCATTCTGTTTTTATTTTGAGGAGTATTGCTATTAGCTCTTCTTTAAAAGTCTGATAGAATTCTGTGCTAAGCCTGTCTGTCTTACCATGGTCATTTTTGGGGGGCTTGGGAGACTTTTAATGACTGCTTCTATTTTCTTAAAGGTTATAGATCTATTAAAATTGTTTATTCGGTCTTGATTTAACTTTGGTAAGGGTCCATTTATTTTAAATATTTCAATTTTGTGGAGTACAGATTTTTGAAGTATGACTTAAGGATTCTTTGGATTTTCTCAAAGTTTGTTGTTATGTCCCCAATTTCATTTCTGATTTTGTTAATTTAGATATTCTCTCTCTGCTTTTTAGCTAGTTTGGCTAAGGATTTGTCTATCTTGTTGATTTTCTGAAGGAACCAGCTCTTGGTTTCTTTGATTCTTTGTTCTCTGTTTCTATTTTGTTGATTTCATCCCTCAGTTTGATTATTTACTGCTGTCTACTCCTCTTGGGTGTGTTTGCCTCTTTTTGATGTAGAACTTTCAGGAGTGCTGCTAAGTTTCTCTTATGAGATCGCTCCAATTTCTTTATGAAGGCACTCAGTGCTATGAACTTTTCATTTAGCACAGCTTTCATTGTATATTCATTTTCATTGAATTCTAGGAAGTCTTTAACTCTTTATTTTTGTCTTGACTCAGTAGTCATTCAGTAGAGAGTTGTAGAGTT